AAGCCAGTTGCTAAAAATATTACAAGTGTCGAGTTGAGTCGAGTCAGAGCCTCATTGCAGTGGCTTGAGTCTGACCTGAGTCCAAGTCAATTGACTCAAGTCTACATCACTGCCTTTTGCATCTCATTTGAAATGTAGTCCTGGAGGTGAGTAGCTCCAAAATGACCAATAAATGGGTTCTAGAGCAAATAGAGATCAGGGATCAACTACAGAAAGCCGCTAGGTGAGCTTGGGCAACTCATCCTCTCTCAGCCTCAGAGGAAGGCAATGGCAAACCTCCTCTGACCAAACCTGGCCAAGAAAACCCAGGGATAGTTTTGTCTTAGGGTTGCCATAAATCAGAAATGACTCGAAGGCACAAACCAACAAGAACAAGAGCAAAGATTCTAAATTCTTCCTAGGTGCCAGAAAACCTAACGTGAGGTTTTCATGTTTGGACACATCATGAAAGGTTTGATTCATTTAATTCATTCTCATGTGATGGATTCCCTCTCTGAGCTGGCCCCGCTGTTCCAAACCCTCATAGTTTCTCTTCATAGGTTTCCAGACCCTTCACCATTTTGGTCACTCTCCTCTGGACACACTCCAGCTTCTCAACATCCTTTATGAATTGTGGTGCCAAATGGACACAGTATTCCAGGTGAGGACTGACCAAAGCAGAATACAACGGCACTATTACTTCCCTTGACCACTGTTGACTCATGCTCAACTTGTTGTCTACTACGACTCCTAGATCCCTTTCACATATAATCTTGTCAAGCAAAGTGTCCCCCATCCTATATCTGTGCATTTCAATTTTTTGCCCTAAGTGCAGTACCTTACATTTCTCTGTGTTGAAATTCATTTTGTTAGCTTTGGCCCAGCTTTCTAATCTATTAAGGTCATTTTGAATTTTCATCCTGTCTTCTGGGGTAATAGCTATTCCTCCTAATTTGGTGTCATCTACAAATTTAAAAAGCATGCCCCCCATTCTTTCAACTTTCATTGTGGCAAGTGTGGCCAGACTCTCAGTCAAAACTTAACAGGGACAGCCAGACACAATTTTGAATAAACAAAGAGAAGTTTTTAACACACAATTAGTTCAAGCATTAACCGCTGAGCTACTTATTTCAGTTCTTCCCCCAGCTGATCGTCCTGTCTCTATTACAGCTTTAACCTGTCTCTGCCATCTTTCACCAATTCCTCTGTCATCTCTTCCCTATCTCTTTGCCAACTTTATATCTGTGCCTATTTATTTATTTATTTATTTATTTATTTATTTATTTATTTATTTATGGGATTTGTATCCTGCCTTTCTCCCAAAATGGGATTCAAGGCAGCAAATCTTTCCCCTATCTCTGTGCCACCTTTTCCCATCTCTCTGCCATATTTCCCTTATCTCAGTGCCATCTTTCTGCCATCTTTCCCCTATCTCTTTGTCATCTTTCCCCTATCTCTCTGCCATCTTTCACCTGTTTCTCTGCCATCTTTCCCTTATCTCTCTGCCATCTTTCACCTGTTTCTCTGCCATCCTTCCCTTATCTCTCTGCCATCTTTCCCTTATCTTTCTGCTATCTTTCCCTTATCTCTCTGCCATCTTTCCCCATCTCTTTGCCACCTTTCCCCATCTCTCTTCCATCTTTCACCTGTTTCTCTGCCATCTTTCCCTATCTCTCTGCCATCTTTCTATTATCTCTGTGACTTTCCCCCTTATCTCAGTGCCATCTTTCCCTTATCTCTCTGCTATCTTTCCCCTATGTCTTTGCCATCTTTTCCCTATCTCTTTGCCATCTTTCCTCTTTTTCTGTGCCTATTTATTTATTTATTTGATTTATATCCCATCTTCCTTTCAAAATGGGATTCAGGGGAGCAAATCTTTCTCCTATCTCTTGGCCATTGTTCCCCTATCTTTCTGCTATCTTTCTGCTGTCTTTTCCCATCTCTTTGCCATATTTCCCTTACCTCTCTGCCATATTTTCTCCATCTCTGTGACCTCTTTCCCTTATTTCTTTGCCATCTCACCCCTATCTCCATGCCATTTCACCCCATCTGTGTAAAGAGAATGTGTAAAGACAAATTATTTTGGTTTTACAAATCTCTGAAGAACAGATATGTGAAAATAAATTCAAGCTGAAAACAAGAACAGCTTTACAAAACTGTGTCATTCCCATTAACCTAACACTTTTTTTAACACTGTATTTTCCCAAGGAATCAATACATTCTGAGCCTAAGAATTAAATTAATCCTTAGACCCAAAACAATGAGCTAGCTGAGATGATTTTAGAGAAGGAAAAAGCAATAGTTTGAGTCTGTGGTTAGTCTCAGGAATCTCTTCTTCCCTGCATGAAGTAATGAACAAAATCTGCTTTTTGTTATTTTTACCTATATGTTTTTAAGTAATTTTTAATGTTGTTGATAGTTTAATTCATTTTAATGTTGACTTTCTCAATGTTTTAGCTATATGGTATTTATTTTCAATTTCAAAGCTGCCTTGAATTGCAGTTTGTTGGAAAAGATGATGATGATGATGATGATGATGATGATGATGATGATGATGCTTAACACTATTTCAATATTTCTCTGTAGTTCAGATGGGAGCCAGTGTGGCATATTGGTTTGAGTGTTGGAATATGACTCTTGAGACTAGGGTTCGATTCCCAGCTTGACCATGAAAATCCCACTTCATGAACTTGGGTAAGTCACACACTCTCAGCCTCAGGGGAAGGCAATGACAAACCTTCTCTGAAACAAATCATGACAAGAACACCTCGTGATAGGTTTGCCTTAGGAGGTTTGCCTTAGGGTCACCATAACTTGGAAATGACTTGAAGACACACAACACAAACACAAACACTGTAGTTTGGAGGCTGCCAGGTTCATGTACTTGTTGTTGTGTGCCTTCAAGTGGTTTTCTGGTTTATGGCAACTCTAAGACAAATCTGTCATAGAGTTTTCTCTGCAAGATTCTTGTTCACAATGGGTTTGCATTTGGCTTCCTTTGAGGCTGAGAGTGTGTGACATGCCCAAGGTCATCCAGTGGGTTTCCATGGCTGAGCGGAGATTCGAATTGCAGTTTCTAGAGTCCTAGTCCACCCTGCTGGTTCTCCTCATATTTGTGCGCGCACACATAATTGCGACAGAATTTTGCTTCAGGTTGTGAAATTTGGGGGGGCAGATGTTTTCCCAGTTTATTCTGAGGGTCTGAACAGAAAAGTTTCTGTTTTGAAAGAAAGATTTCAGGGTCCAGAGGCACTCTAACTATGACCATCACTCCTGTTACCCAAAATACTAGGGTCCTAGGAGGGCACCCACAAATCAATACATCGGGGGAATTTTAATAGCTCAAATAAAATACCTTGGCTGGGGCACCAGTCAGCCTTAGGATCAACCCTGTGTATATCGGTTCCAAGTCACACAGAACTCCAGAGGCAAGTTTTGTAGGCTTATTACGAAAATAAGCAACACACACACAAACACACACTCAAGCAGACACACAAGAACTAACAAAACAAAAGGTGGGAGGATGAGAAAAGTGGAGGCTTTGCTAATGGTAATACTGTACCAATCCTGATGCGTGGTTCCAATTGATGGCCATCCGGAACGGAGATGGCTCAATAGTCACCTCAGCAAGTGGGATGGCCATCTTATTGAGGAGTCTAGTCTATC